ACCCCAAGTTCCCTCCTTGGGCTGCGCGCCTCTTTTGTCTATCTAAGTGTTACTTCCATAAACGTAATAAACCCCTGTACCTTCCAAGCATACACATGCTCCCCAGAACCTGTGGTTAAAATGAGTGCTTCCTGGGGCTAATGAGGTTCCTATTTGTTCTGACCCAGAGGGCGTGAGAAGCCACCAAAGGCAGGCATGGAGGCAGCTGATTAGGGGCAGGGCCCGCCAGCCTGTGGCTGTTAGCTTGGTGAGCATGTGAGCAAGGCTCCAGAAGAAGCCGCCCTTTGCTGTTGTCAGCCATGCCAGAGAGAAAAGAGATTTCCGTAGAGTCTCCGGGCTTTTGTGTCACCCTCAGGTTTTGCCAGCCTCCATGGGGACTTCAAGGGGAGAGTACTGGGCTGAGACCTGGATATCTGACACCCTGAGTGGCTTTCCATTAAATACTCCATCAGCACGTGGTTAGTGGATCACTCAGCCATGTGTCGGTGCTGGGCTCGACAGCGTAAGGTACAGGCAGGAGTCAGAAGCCTGGGTCCCACTCAGCCTCTTGTGTACCGGGTGACCCTGGTGAAGGCAGGTAACCAACCTGAGCCTTAGCCTCCTCAGTTGTAAAATGAGCATAATAATGCCTCCCTAGAGGTTGCTGAGAGATTAAACACAATGATGCCGGTAAGCCCTTAATGTGGAGGCAGTCACTGCGTAAATGCTCAAAAATGGTAACTGTTTTTATGAGCATCTGCGTTCAGGTTGTGTCTGCCCTTCACGTCCCAGCCCACCATCCCTGCCAGTCAAGCCCAACTCAGGCTAGCCCACTGTCTCAGTCTGTTTGGCTGTAATAACAAATACTATAGACCGGGTGGCTTATAAACAGCAGAAATGTATTGCTTACAGTTCTGGAGGCTGGAAGTCCAAGATCAGGGAGCCTGCATGGTCAGGTTCTGGTGAGGGCCCGCTTCCCGGTTGCAGACGCTGACTTTTCACTGTGTCCTCACGTGGTGGAAGGGGCCAGAGAGCTTCCCCGGGTGCCTTTAGAAGGGCACTAATGTTAGTGCTATGCCCTCAGGACCTAATCACCTCCCAAAGACCCCACCTTCTAATGCTGTCACCCTGGGGTTAAGTTTTAACATAAAATTTTGGGGGAAATAAACATTCAGACCCTAGTACCCACCCACCCAGCACAGCCATAGTACCGCCCTACTGCTCTGCACCCCTATACTCTCCTGACCTTTCACCCTCCCAGGCAGGCTGCCCCAGCCCAGTGCTGGTGCAGCTGGTGGGAGGCAGTCCCATCCGGGTCTCAGCTTCCTCTACCCCACCATACGTTTCATCACCACAGAGGCTTTATGTTTCTGTTTCCCAGCTCAGCGTTCTTGTCCCCGCTGAACGGAGAAGTGAGAGCTCAGAGACTGTAGCAAGGGATTCTGAAATTGATTAGTTGAGTATTTTGGGAGGCTAGCTGAATGCAGTTGTGACTATAAGGCTATAACATCAAAACTACAAACCCCTAAGGCCAGGCGGTCATTTAGAGGCATTGCTACATTGTTTAAAGAGGCCCCTTGAACCACACTGCCTGGGCTCAAATCCTGGTCCCACCGCTTACAAGCTCTGTGACTTTTGGCAAGTTGCCAATTTCCCTGTGCCTCAGTTTCTTCATCATAAATTGGGGGTGTTGATAATAGTAGTTCCTTCCTCATAAGGTTTTTTGTGAGGATAGTGCTGTGTATATCTAAGTGCTCTGTAAGCATTGAGTAACTGTCACGGTAACTATCCTTATTGATGGGGCTCGTAACCACATGCAAGGCTCTGAACCTAGACTGCTCTTGTGGTACCTCACTGAGTCCTCACGCAAACTCCTGGATGTGTGTGCTGTTGTACCCATTTCGCAG